CCCAGCCTGAGCATGCATTGCTGGAGATTTCCCCCCGGTGCTGCGGCAGGGGGGAAGCACCCCCGGGGAACAGCGTTGCCTCATGTCCGACGAGACTTTTTGTCCCATTTTCCAACCGGGGACTGTACCCCCCTGTCCTCAGCCCAGCCCCACAAGCCCTGATGGGAGGAGAAGGGCTCCGGGGGGGGGGAACTGGAGGTTGCTCTGCAGTGGGGAGCTTCCCCCCGCCCAGATCTGGCCAGGGAGGAGCGGCTGTGGTTTTGTTTTTAGCATATTTCTGTACGTGGAGTTGTAGTGGTCGGACATCCATTCTCAATTGTGGGACTGCTGTGTCCCGGAGGACCTGCTGGCCTGTCCAGTCACCCGCCATGGGGTCTGCACAGATGGTGCAGCCATGGGCTTCTATGAAAACTCTTTTTTTTTTGTTTTTAATAAAACCAAAACAAACCCACAGGAGCCAAAAACCAAACCCGCAGGAGTGCCAGCCTGCGCTGGGGTAGGGTTTAGGCTTTGAAGCCAACACAAGTGCCCCCAGTTTTGCCACCCTGGTTTTGAGAGCTGTCCACCTGTGGTGCCTGGCCCTGGCCACCCCTGTGTGCCGAGGGCCCCAGCTTTTTGGGGTGGGAGTGATGCAGTTCTTTGCTGTTTCAGTCCCAAGCTGTGCTGGTTTGTGACTCTCTCTCTGCCACCTTTCTTCCGACCAGGGATGGGTCTCGGCACGGTGAAGCTTCGGAGGCCCTCGGCAAGGGAGCAGCCTGCCCAAGGAAGACGGCAAGGGGTTGCGGTCTGATCCGCACAGCCGGTACGGCACCTTGAACCCTACTGCTGGTGAACCTGCTGGGTTTGGGGTCCTGCTGCTGGGAAGGTCGGTGGGGACGGGTGGTCCTGCATGGAGACAAGGAGCGGGGATTGGGTGCTTAAATGGAGGTCCTTGGGTCTGAAAACGCCCTCCTTATCCTGCCCAAAAATAGACAAGAAAGCAAAATGAATGCCTTGCAGGCACAGAGGCATATTTCTTTGATGTGCCTCATAAAAACCAGCCAAGTAGGTCACTCGTGGAATAGAAACAAAGTAGCGGTGTTGTCATCCCCAGAGAAGGCAGGTGTCTCGGTGGTGGGG